ATATATATATATATATATATATATATATATATGCATTTTAAACCCTTCCAACACTCTTGCAATAGTCTAAACAATGTTTCTAAACTCTAAACGTTCTAAAATAGCACAGCATGTCATAATTTTAGCTCTCTGCCAGCGCTCTCGACCACGCCCACTTTTCCGTGCAGAGCGGAGATCAGCTGATCAGCTGCAGGAGGGAGCTTCTCCCACAGCTGTGGGCTGCACACAGGTGCTGAATAATTTAAAATCATTTATTTTAAATAGAAATCCCATGCCGATCGTGCGGCTCATCCATCAATCAGACAATTGTGTGTCATGTCCAATCTTACTTTGAAAAACCGCGATAGAGCGAGTCCGCGATAAATGAACCGCAAAGTAGCGAGGGACTATTGTAAAATGATAAACACTGGTAAGTAAATAAAAGTTTAATTACGTATCAACATAAAATAATCTCAATTTGAACTAGAAATTAACATTTTATTTTGAGTTTACTGTTTAAAAATTCCTTCCTTCAACTGTTTTCATACAGAATAACAGACACTGAATGCGTTATAGATTTGAGTCCAGGCTGCCATCGATGATCCTGGTTGTTATCTGTGTTGTCGTTAACTAAATAATTATCTTGGTGATTTTTGTTGTCATGTAACCCAAAAATAACTGCATGGTTTCAACAGATCAGTTGCAGCCGATTCACGCTGACGTAGAGGAGAGTCCTCCTCGTGAATAAACTTCCCCATGAATGATCACTCACAGACAATGTCTGAAACTCCAGCATTTAGATTTTATTCTTTACAGCTGTAGTGCTTTTTGTGGGCTTTCTCCTCGCAGCCTTCACTGTCTGGACCACATTTGGAAGGAAGCCCCCTTTAAATTGTAGACTTGCTGTTTTGAGCACCGTTTTTATGGGCTCTTTGAGTCCGGGGGATTTTTAGTGAGGAAATGTGGTTTATCCAAACAGAATATTTGGATTGTTGTGTTTGTATGGTCACCGCCTTCTGCTTTTTTTTACTGGCTTTTACTATAAATATAAGTGTCATGGCAAGCCAGAGTGTGTGTCTGTATCTAATTACCTCTCATTTATAAAGCTTGCGCGTTGTTTCCTCCTGAATTTATGAAGGCGTTTGATAAATAAAAGATGTACCAGATTGCAGGTGCAGCAGCTTCTCATGCGAACATGTGAGAGCCGAGCCAAAACGCGGATGTAAAAGCAGCGACAAAGCAAAGTCAGACTGCGGCCAGACCCGTTAATGCTCTTGTTCTGATGAAGAACTATTTAGCTCTGCAGTCATAAGCAAGTGGAGGTATTTACTGCAGCCATTAATGACTTACAGGTTGGAGGATTGAGCCGAAGCTCTTTCAGCAGACGCCTGTGTGTGTATAGTAACCCAGGCTTACAGTTAAAAGGAAATGGGTAAAGGTTCGGCTGGAACACGCTCAGTCGAGTCTGTTTCCTATGAGATTGTGTGAGTTGGATCATTTGGCATGAAAACAAAAACCCATCTACAAACCACAAACACATCTGCCACGCTTACTTGCACGGAGGAGCCCCGAAGGCAGGATAAACAACAATCAGAACAATACCACTTTGTTGCACATTATCGAGGAATGTCACTAGACTTTGGATCAAATTCACTTGGAGGAAATCAAAACTGGAACATGTTAAATAATAATAATACATTTCAGTTAATACCCGCCTGAATGAGTGAACTGAAAAACACAACATGGCTAAATCGGAAATAAAATTGTAGTTTTATGTCACAGTTGGCAGTGAAACCTTTTTACTTCTGTTAAGTTTTATTTCAGAATTTTTTTGTTTAAAATAAAAATCTGTTGTTTTTTATCTGCTCTTTTATTTAAATGGGGGTGTTTGGGGCTTCCCATGCTGCCATGTACTCAAAGACTAATAAACTATCCATGAGTGGACCCATAGAGACTCCTGACAACATGTGGACAGGATGAACTGCCCCTCAGACAATTTTTATTGTTGTTTTAGAAACATTTTTTAATTCCCAACCAGTATTTTTTGAGTTATGCATAAATATTAAAATTAGAACATCTTATCTAAAAGTGATGCAGAAAAACTGGTTCATGCATTTGTCACGTCTAGTCTGGACTGTTGCAATGGTTTGTTATCTGGGTGTCCAAATGCTTCTTTAAAAAGTCTTCAGTTGATCCAAAATGCTGCTGCCAGTCTTAACTGGAGTTAGTAGGAGAGATCATCTCTCTCCAGTTTTAGCTTCTCTCCATTTTCTCCCTGTCAAATCCAGAATTGAATTCAAAATCTTACTTCTAACCTACAAAGTCCTCAACAACCTAGCTCCATCTTGTATTAGTGATCTTATTGTTCGATATTTTCCTAATAGAGCACTTCGCTCTCAGACTGCAGGCTTACGTTCGGTTCCTAGAGTTTCCAAAAGCAGAATGAGAGGACGATCTTCCAGTTATCAGGCTCCTCTCTTGTGGAACCAACTTCCAGTTTCTGTCCATGAGGCTGACACATTGTCCAGTTTTAAGACTGGGCTTAAGTCTTTCCTTTTTGATAAATCCTATAGTTAGGGTTGGCTTGTTATGCTGCTATAAGCTTCGACTACTGGAGGACAAATTGACCTCATGTCCTTAAAATTAATTGTTAAAATTGAATAGTTTTCATTTGATACTATTTCTATCTTAACATATGATTCTTGACCTGCCATTGTGTATCTGTTCCTACCAAACCCAGCTGGTTGAAGCAGATGGCCGCTTGTCCTGAGCCTGGTTCTGCTAAAGGTTTCTTCCTAATGAGGGAGTTTTTCCTTTCCACTGTCGCCTTCATGCTTGCTCAAGATGAGAGTCTGAGATGGAGTTAAATTCAAAGCAGTCTGCTCCTCAGATAAATAATGTTATTAACTTACTTTTTATATGTATGAATGTTTCTGTTCAGCGCCCTGAGACGACTTCTGTTGTGACTTGCGCTATATAAATAAACTGAATTGAATTGATATTCATTAGCAGGAAATGTGAGTTGGTTTTTGTCAGTGATTTCTTCTAGTAATTAGTTTTTACAGATTGCACCTTTATTCTTTCTCTTGCTGCCTGTTTTGTCATTACTTATCTTTCTTTGCATTTTTTTTTTTTCCCCGTTCCTTTTGCCCAGCTTGTGAGAAGAACGTTCAAACTGTGTGTACGAACTCATCAGAGGAACACCTGCAGCCCTTTAAGGAAAAGATGGAGCTCTTCATATCTGCTGGTAGGTCCCGATTCTTCTTGTTATCTGTAGTAAAGACAGAAATGTTTGGGGTCAGACGTTGTCATTTGTTCTTTGTTTTAAAGTCGAATCGTTTAGTTCATAATTGAAGACGCTGGTGAGGTTTCATTCATGATGAAGAAAAACGTGTTTGTTCTCTCTCCCTTAATGCACTCACGGTGACACCCTCACCCTCAGACAGATGTTATTGGCTGTTTGGTCCTGCTCATAAGTATGACTCTGTTAAGACAACTTCAAAACATAGATCATCCATTTAGACGTAGAAATTAAAGGCACAAGGAAATAAAAGCCCTGATTTTTGCCCAGATTCACTGCACCTTTTAAAAAGATTATATAATTTGGTGGAGGATCCATCTCCCAGGGTGTGCTTGTTCTTGCTGAGAGGAGGACGTCTCTATAGGACAACATGAAGATAGGTCTACAGGCCTGTAGAAAGGATCATGTTGCCTCTAACACGGTTCTCCTGTACTCTGAGCTTCCATAAAGCTGCAGGAAATCTCTGGCTGTGGCCTTGTAAAGCCGGGCTGGCCGCGGTGGATCACTCCCGGGGACCACAGTGACAGGAACAGAGGTTCCCTGAAACACCAGCAACACTTTGTGTCGTCTCTCTGAGCCAAACACCATTAAAACCCCCCGCTGTACCGTCTCCCTTTTAATGTTTCCAACAACCAAAATGAAAACGCGTTGTAGATCTCTAACTTTGAGCCAGTTATCATGACAGCAGTAGCTTTATAAATTCAGCAAGAAGAGGTAGTTGTCTTACCTTCGTTATTTTTCATGGACTCCTCTAAAGAAATGAGGAAAAATGTACATTTGGGCTGGCAACAAAGAAGTTCAGCTAGATAAGAAACGTTAGAGGACGGCTCTAAATATAAACCAACAAAGGATGATTTCAGACTTTTTGTTGTTGGTGAAGTATTTTAAGGGCCCTTGCTCACCAGTAAGCCCTGGATCTTTACCATCGGAGGATGCAAACAAGATTGCATCGTCATGGGAACTGATGCTGAAATGACAACTTGCTCAGGAGTCGTGCATCATCATTTCTGTTGACAAAATGAGAAACTTGTGAAGTGAGCACATTAAGAGAGTCTCTTTTTCAAAACACATCTTCCTGATTCTTTAAAGTTCTCATGCATTTGTGCACAGGCTCTTGCTCCAGTTCACTACACAGCAAAACGCGCAGCACTTTTATCATAATAAGTCTCCTGATCCTCATTTAAGGGAGCTTTTTTCAGCATCCTAAAGTAATCAGTAGCTTTTAAGTGTTGCGGTTGCCACCGGCTGCAAAATGGCCTTGTTTTTTTCTAAATCACATCTTGAGCATAAGCCTTTTAATGGAATACTTGTAAACGCATTTTTGTTTTTCATCGACAAAATTCCTGGCGATCTTAGCCGTGCTTCATAAAGAAGTGGACGGAGGTGCACGATTGCCGCTCGAGATGATTCCATAACTTCAAAAAGCAAAAAAAAAAAAATAAGAAGAAAAACAAGTCAACAGCGTTCAGATCAAAGAGCAACCGAGGCTGTTAAACTGTGACTCATTACTGAACGAGTTCCTCATCCAGGTAGTCGCTCTGGCAGCTCACGCATAGATACACGTGTCCTGCACATGATTTTACGTTTTAAAACGAACATAAAACAGAAGGGAAACTCCGTGTGAATGTTACAGGAAGTATCGGGGAGGTTTACTTAAATGGACGCTTTACTTACTTATGCAGAGAATGAATAAATAAATAATACAACTAGTTGGACCTCAATGAGTCCCATGCTCGTCCTCTTAAACTTGTCTGTGTGAGCCCTTCCAGATCTCCATCCAGTAATCCTTCAGAGTGCTGCTTTACCTGCACTGTGAAACCCTGGTGGGATTTGTCACTTTCTTTTGCAATTATCTCCGTTTAAATATGGCCACTTTGACCATTTTTACCACCCACCTCCCAAGGCAAAGCAGCGATGATGTGTCTGTGCGTGCACCTGTGTGTTTGTCTACGGTTAGCTAAATATCTCATGAAGCAACTGATAGATTTGAATTGAAACTCTCAGAAAATAATCACTGGGTGTACATGTACCACTAATTCACTTTTGGAGTCAATTCAAGATGGCCTCCACACCTAAGTGACCTTAGCAAACACAAATATAGCTATAAAATACCAAAATTCATGCTCAATAATCCAGGTTAAAAAAAATCCAATAACGTTCAGTCATGTCATCTGGACAGTTTCTTTTTTTAGACATTTCGTCCTTCATCCAAAGGACTTCTTAATTCCTTTGTCAGTCGGACTGATTAAGTCCTTTGGATGAAGGACGAAACGTCTCAACGAGGAAAAAAAAGAAACCGTCCAGATGACCTGACTGAACCTTGTTGGAGCTATAAAATGGTCGATCTTGCAGATATAGAGATCAAATTTGGGGTGGTAGTAGCTGAGACTGACCCTCAACACATAGTTTAAATACTAACAGATCAAGCCAGTAACTATTGAAGTGAACTGTTATTTTGTTAGCATAATATTTCATGAACCACTCGACATATTTCAATGAAACTTTCAGAAAAACGATCACTTTTCATTCCACCTTTATTTATACAGGTTAATCCCGTTGAGCCTCGGGGACTCCTTAACAACAGAGACCTGATTTTAACAAAGAGTGATGACAACAATGGACAACAAAGACAATAGACAATCATAAAGGATGCATACAAATTGAGAATAAGTGAAAATAAAATGGTATTTTTTTTTTAAAACTGTACATTTTCAACTACCGGTAATTAGATTTCACAGTTCCAATTATTGCAGCCAGCTGATATTGGTAAAGATTAAAAGATGTATAGGTCAATCGTTTTTACACATATTGAGCTGAAATCTGGTGTGGTAGTAGCTGAAAAGTCATTCACAGCACATACTGATCTCTTAAGCATTAACAGATCATGCAAGAGATTGTGTGCACAAGGTTTGACCAAAATGGCTGTTACTGTCATTTCTGTATTTATTACTTGAAGAATGTTTGGCCTTTATCTTTTAATCTGCTCTAGTTCAGTGATTGTGAGGAAACAACAATGTCTTACTTAACAAATATGAGCTTTTTGTTCCAAAATATTGTAATAAAATAAAAATCATTTGCCTGCTTTTGACGCTCCAGCACAGTTTAGCATCTTGAAATTATGCCATTGGAGGGGGAAATTTCCCCAACTTTCCATGTGGAAAAAAAACAACACTTTTTTTGTTGGTGTTGAGTCAAAACAAGTTATTTTCACTGGTTTGCATGTGTGTGTGTGTGTGTGTGGGGGGGGGGGGGGGTCTATCATGCAAAATAGCTCATGAACCATTAGTTGGATATTAATAAAACTTTTAGAAAATACCATCAGTTTGTGCTCAATAATCCAGGAACAAATCCAACAATGTTCAGTCAGGTCATCCGGACGTTTTTTTTTTTTTTCATCCGAAGGACTTCTTCAGTCCGAGAAGCCACAAACAAACTGGAGTACCACAAATACCACACTCCCATAGTGGGAGAAAAAAACTGTTACCAGACAAGCCAGTCTTAGAAAATAATGAATAAAAAATAAATGCACGTTTACAACAGATTATCTTTTGGATTCGCCAAAATTCAAGCTGACCAGCACAGTTAAACTTTAGCCAACACCAAATTGACTCAGCTTGGTTCATTTTGCAACCATTGAGCAAAAATGTGGTTTGGTAATAGCTGAGCATCTTTCTCAACACATGCTTCAAGTGTTCATAAATTGCATGAGCCCACACAATATCTCAAGGTTGCGCATAACGCCGTTTACAAGGTTCGACTGACACAGAATGGGAGCCCATTTTGATCCGTTCTGACACGTTTGAGACTTATAAAAGAAAATATCTGATTAAAAAATAAAAATCTTCAACATCCCCTATAAACTGCTCTTCTCTTTCTGTTATCTTGGTTTAAGTAGCGGTTTGAAGGAGTCTGTCAGAGTTTTAAAGCCGTGATTTATTGTCCCTCTCAGCATGCATGTCTCATAACTTTCTAGTTAGCGACACGTGGTTTCATGTTAACACATGGAGCGGAGGAAGAGAAACTTCACACGTTCCCTCGCTGGGCCGCTTTCTTTCCCTCAGCTTTTCGGCTCCTGTGCCACCTCTGCAATGTCACACCAGAGGGGTACCTCAGGCGCCAGCCTGACCCCCACTGAGACTAACACCATTGGTCACGGCCCCTCTCCCCCCACCTCTTCTCTTCAGTCCAGACATGGCCACCCCTTCATTAGGTTTACATGTAAAGAAGGTCCAAAAATAAAAGGGGTTGTTGATCGCAGGCTTTGGCTCACCTAGTCCCAGAAGACCCCCAAAACCTGCCTTTGAACAATTTTTTCGGAGACTTCCCCCCTCTTAAATCTTCAAGTAGAAAAAGGTCCCCCATCATTGTAAAAGAAAAGGATGAATCTGGAAAAATGCAATAAATCTGAGATCACAGGCACTCTTTGGCCCTAGATAAATTCTTGCACCTCGGCCCGGCCCACATCTGCCTTGCATTTAGACACTTTTACATGGCAGGAGTCCAGAGGAGCCTTCGGTTCCCAAGCCTCTCTTCAGCTTCAGCATGTATGCAAACACACAAAAGCCTGGCAAAGAGACCGCCGCCCCCCAGCCCAGTTGTCACACTCACTGCAGCTTCAACGCACGGAGGTATGAAACTGTACAAGGTGCCTGGGTAACATGTGACATCTCAACCCTGAGATGGTCTTCTTCACCCATCGACTCATGACTCAGGAAGAGGTTAATAACCATAGCGCCCCCATCTGGAGCCAGTGGCCCTTACCTGAATCACCCACCCCCCCCCCCCCCCCCTCCATGTGACCTACAACTGATTTACCTGTTATTCTGTGTTGCAGCTCAGAAGGAGCATTCTGCTGAAGATGATCGACTCAACGCAGCTCAGAAAAGGTAGAAACCACACAAGAAGCACAAGAAGTATGAACTCCACTGTGTTATTATCACCCACTGCCGAAACATGAAGGCACGCTATAATGTCCTTGCCCGTATCTGTGTGGTAATGTGTCTGTTAGCATAATATCTCGTGAACCAGTGAACAAATTCCAATGAAACTTGCAGAATATAATTATTTAGTATATCTACAAATGAGGGCAGCACGGTGGCACAACTGGTAGAGCTGCTGCCTCTCAGCGAGCAGGTCCTTGGTTCAAACCCCGGTCCCGGGGCCTTTCTGGGTGGAGTTTGTATGTTCTCTCCGTGCATGCGTGGGTTTCCTCCGGGTGCTCCGGTTTCCTCCCACAGACCAAAAACATGCATGTTAGGCTGATTGGTAACTCTAAATTGTCCCTAGGTGTAAGTGAGAAAGTGAATGGTTGTTTGTCTCATTTGTCTCTATGTGGCCCTGTGATGGACTGGAGACCCGTCCAGGGTGTACCCCGCCCCTCGCACAGTGATTGCTGGACATGGGCACCGGCGACCCCCGTGACCCAAAATGGAATAAGCGGGTAAAGATAATGGATGGATGGATCTACAAATGATTAACTATTAGAATCAACACAATTCAAGAAGGCTGCTACAGCCAACTGACCTTAAAAAATAAAAAATATATATATTTGTTTTAATTCAACCTTTTATTTATAGTTCATTGAGTCACGAGGACTCATTTACAAGAGAGACCTGTTTTAGACAAACCACAAATAAGATACAGACAACAATAAACAGCCATAAAATGCATATAAACTAAAAAGTAAATAAAAGTAGTGCTATAAAGCAAAATATAAAAACAAGGTCAAATACTAAAAACAGGAACATGTCTGCATTGATTTTTCCATTGGACTTAACAATTATTTAAAATCCCTTAGAGAGGTCAAAGAGCTTCAGGTTTATTTGCAAGGTGTTCCAGGAAACAGGAGCTGAGTAAGAAAAGTCCTTTTTGACAAGTTCAGTCTGCAGTGAGGGGACGCTGCGAGTAATTATGTCCTGAGAGCGCACGCTGTAACTGCACTGACGACGTGATATGTAGGAGGAGATATATGAAAACAGCAGACCAAGGAGTGATTTAAAGATGAAAATGTACCAGTATAAAGAGTGTGCATGAAGTTAATGATGACCAGTTAACCAGTGAATACAGGGTGCAGTGATGGGTACTGTAGTTACAGCCAGTTATGAATCTTAGCACACCGTGATAGACAGCATCCAACATCTGCAAGGTACAGGCAGGGGCATTCATGTAAATAATGTCACCATATTCAATGGTCGGTAGGAAAGTAGCAGTTACAAGGTGTTACCTGTCATTCAGAGTTAAAGAAAAGAAACCCAATTTTAATTTCGGTTTCTTTATCAAGTTTTCGCCATGAGGCTTAAAAGAGATGTGCATCAACCAAGGTTACCAAGTATTTATGAGTCGGCAAACTCAACACCATTCGTAGCTAAAATAGAAGGAAGGACTGCTGGTACTAACTTCCTGTTTGAAAACATCTCTTTGGTTTTATCAGCGTTTAGCACCAGTTTGAGATGGAACAAATCTGACTGGATGATGTTGAATGCAGAATGTAAAAGATGGAAAATCTTTACAACCGTTTTATCTCAACAATTAACAACTGTGTCATCAGCATAGAGATGCAAGGATGCGTCAAAAATGTTCTGACCTACATTACTTATGTAGATTGTGATGAGGATGGGTCTTAAGACTAAGCCTTGTGGTACACCATTATTGACAGTTAAATAGCTGGAAGAAGTACCATTATGTTGAACACGTTGCCTTCAATCTGAGAGTTAATTAGAGAACCAACCGATAGCATGTTCTGAGAAACCAATTTCTGAGAGCTTATGACATAAGATATCATGGTCCACAGTGTCAAAAGCTTTAGACAGGTCTAAATAAAGTGCAGCACAGTAATCCTTAGCATCCAATGCTTCAACAACATCATTAAAAACCTTCAACAAAGAAGTCAGCTATGTCACATCAATTTTATGTCTTTTAGCTAATGCTAATCTAATGCAACACTGGACATATTTGAATGGAACAAACTTATAATATTTTAATGAAACTATAAGTAGAAGTAAATTATAAGTAACTATAAGTAAGTAATCAATGAATGTACATCCACATCGAATTAACTTTCGGGGTCAATTCAGTCTAAGATGGCCTCCACAGCTATTTGACATAAGAAAACAGAAAAATGGCTGCAACTCGGTCCATTTTACAGACATTGCACTAAAGCTCCGTGTGGTGGTAGCTAAGCAGGATTCCCAACACATACACTTAGTATGTTATCTTGTAATACCATATGAGATGTTATTTTCAAGGTTTGGCCAAAACAGAAACAACCATTTCACCACAAGATGGTCTCGTTTTGAAACTCTGGCGGGTGATATGCATTCCTTCAAGGAATGCCGGTATTTTAACTTAGCTTGCATAGCTGCTATCAGATAAGAGTAGTGCCAAATCTTTGTTTAAGCAATATTATCAGCTGCTGATAACATTTCCAGAAAGATGAAGGGGTTTCTTAGTGTTTATCTAGCTGGATAAATGAGTCATTTATTGACTGTACATGTTTGACATTATTTAAATTTTACATTTGCTGATGTTCCATAAATTATTCTCCTTTGACTTCAACGCTTGTTCAGATTTGCAGCAAAGACAAATAAGCACGTAAACCTGGATGCCCTCGTCCTCCTCCCCCCGGCGAGTTTCTGTCGTTCTTATCTGCCGTGTTTCGGGCCGAAGACTCCCGAAAAGTTTCCGCGAGAGGCAACTTGATTTATGGGACGCGCTGGCAGCCGCCGAGCGAAATTAGATCTGGAAAATTTCATATTGGAAAAAGATGGTGGAGCAGACAAACAAAGCAAACAGATCGTTTCTCTGGGACGGGGAGCAGAGTTCGTAAGACACCAACAGCTAAAACAAATCCTGGGAGACGCGGAAAGAAAAAGGTGAAAGGCGGCAAACGCAAGGAAACGAAACCCTTAAACAATAAGAAATGTGATTGATGTGTGTGTGGGGTGGGGGGGGGACTACTTTAATAAAGGTGTTGAACTAGGTGAGTAATATTGATCAAAAGGCGCCCGCAGCTGACAACACCTTTCCTTTAATTTCATCCAAAAAAAAGATGGAGGGGGCTGGTTGAGTGGGGGCGCAAGAAGGAGGTGGGGGTCTCGCTCAGTTTCCCACAGAGCCACCTCGTAAAAGTGACACGCTTCTGATGAATATGGGCGTCAGTGGGCACTCTGGGCCCTGGGTGGGCCCTCACATCTGTGCTGGATGAGGGATCCTCTCACGAAGTGCAGCCGTGCCGAAATGTACCGACTACACAATCCTCCGAGTTCTCAGATACATCAATCTGGGGGGGGGGGGCGCTAAGCGTACATCAGGATACAGATAAGAGATGTCAAACCTAACGAGTTTCAGAAAATATGTGTCTGTACCCGAAAAATAGCAAAAACGTATAAATGTATGCATATTTTTATTAAGTTTAATTTCTGGATTATTAAAGAAATTTAATTTAAATATTTTCTAGATTCAAAAACATCTTCTCATCTGATTTTGAGGAACTGAACTAACAGGAAATTACATTAAAATTATCCCTCTATTTTAATGAATTGGCTTTATAATACAGTTAAAGTCATTTGTTTGTAGTAAACATAAACTATATAAACTGGACAAAATTGAATTAAAGTTTGCTTTAATTATTTTCAAATAATAGTTTTTATTTGGTTTTATACAATAATTTAAACTAATAATCACAATATTTCAAATAATAAAATAAAATACAGCAATAAAACTGTAGCATTAGTTAGAAATTTATTTTTTGTCCACATAAAAAAAGTTATAAAATTTTAAGAACTCAAAATTTAAAAAAATATTTCTTTAGATTATTTTTTTTGCTGTTTATTGGATATTTGTGAATAATTGCAGTTGACTAAAATCATTTTTATCCTTTTTTGTGTATGTGTAATGTATTTACCAAATTAAAGCATTAAAATAAAACATAACTTTTCATTTAGTTAACGATGATAAAAATAAATTCAGCCATATTTAATTAACTTAAATCCTACATTTAACCAAAAATTGTGAAAACAGCAAATATAAAATATAATTTTTATTAAATTTCTTATTTAAATTTCAAATGCTTGTAACAAATATTGAACATTTTTTTTAATATATTTAATTTTTTTTTTTTTTTAGATTTAGAATTAGTTGAAAACATTGCAGGGAATTAAAAAAAAATAAAATAAAACCAAGGGTAAAGAGAAGAAATTTCTTAAGTTATTGCACTTTAAAAAAATTGTTAGTAAACAGAACATTATAAAAATTACAGTAATAGTGTCAATATTGCATTAAAAAAAACAATTATTTTAGATGAAAGTTGTAAATTTTAATATTTTGAAACACACATAATATGTACAAACTAACTAATATAAGTTAAAATATTATTATCTGCATGTTTTTTTAATAAAATATTGTCAAACAAGTAAGAGTCTCATAAAAATAATTATGATAAATAGAATTCTTTTTTTTTTATAAATGACCCAAAACCATTTGACCAAAACTCTTTTGAGCGATTAATATAAACAAATGAGGTAATAAAATTAAATCTCTAACAAAACCATTTCCTGTTTGATCCTTGGTTATTCAGACTCTTTGAGCTCAGGTTTTTTTTTCCTCTCAGTTCTGTCTCATTAAGTTTTCCTCTCCGCTCAATTACATCTGGCCTTGGTGCCACCTCCACAGCCAGCTGCAGTCTGCTTGGTGTCATATTCCACCCTGGCATTATTTGATTTTTAAAAAAAAAAGGGCGTCTGATTTTAACTTTCACTGCACGAGGGGATGCAGGGGTGCCTGACCAGATATTCCTGGGGTTCTCCCGGCTCTTCGTAGTTTTATAAAGTTTTTTTTAGCTGTCAGCGAGGAATGCTGTGGGTGCTGCTGAACCCTCCCACTGTTGGCATCATCGTGTAGATTATGGAAGGTTTCTGTTTCTGCACACGCACGTGATTTTTTTATTTATTTTTTTTTTTTTTTTGCCGAATTCACACAGTTTGATTCGTGCGAGCTGTGACACGATGACCCCGGGGGTCGGGAGAGGAGCTGATGGAGAAGACTTCCTGTTCGTCGTGCCGAACCGGGCCAGCTGCTGCAAAGCTACCTGTCCGTTTGGTCGCTTTAAACATCTCAGTGTGTGCTGCGTGCAGAAAGATGTACGGCTCTGATTTAAGTAAAGTGACGCCTCCCGGAGAAATGAGAAGCAGGTTCTTACAGGTTTTTTTTTTTTTGGTCCGGGCACCGTTTCACTCTCCACAAAACATGTTTAAATTAAAAAGCCCCCCGAGCATCGGGGGGACAGCGCCCCCCGGGTGTCACCGCGAGAGAGAGCATCCCTAAAATCATACCCCCCCCCCCCCACCCCCCACCCTTTTATCAACCCTCTGACAGTCGCGGCCAGAAAATGTCTTTCATGTTTCGGTGGGGCGGGGGGGGGGGGGGGGGTGCACTTTCCATCGTGTGCTGCTGAGCGCAAAGTAAGAAGCGTACAGCGACGCTGCAGACAATCTGTTTATTTGCATAGATCAGATTTGGCGTGTTTTGTGTGCCCGCTTGCCTCATTCATTGTCTGACAGTGAGTATGTTTTACATGCGTGTGTTTGTGTGTGTGTGTGTGGGGGGGGTGCATATTCATGGCTGTCTATGTCTTCTCTGGCAGTGTAATGTAACCCCTGCACAGGTCAATGCGATAATGGAGCTACCTCTGCTGGCTCTCCCCTGTAGCCCAGCAGGGTGGACATGCTCACTTCAGCTCTGTGTGTGTGTGTGTGGGGGGGGGGGGGGGGGGGGGGGGTCTGATTGCATCCATCACACACCTTGAACTTCTCGCTGTGTTTCAAATCTCGAGCCTCCCTCCAAAACACGCTTCCATCCCCTCCCGAGATGTTCACGCTCCTCTGAACGGCCGCTGCTTCTCCCTCAGCTTCCAGGATGTGGTGAGCTACTTCGGAATGAAGCCAAAGTCCGGGGAGAAGGAAGTGGCTCCGAGTTACGTCTTCATGCTCTGGTACGAGTTCTGCAACGACTTCAAGAACTCGTGGGTCCGACAAAGCAAGACCATCTCCAAGGAGAGGTGAGTTGGATGCTTGCTGTAAGTTGTTCTGAACGTTCAGTTTAGTTGTCAGGAAGAGGAGGAGTGTGTGTTGGTGGCGAAAGCAAAAGGCTGTTTTTGTTTGTGTGTGTTCATTTGTCTGTTAGCAAAATATCCCATAAACCGTTGGTCACATTTTAATGAAACAACCAGAAAGTAATCATTGGATGTGCATCTACAGCTGATTGACGTTTGGAGTCAATTCCTTTAAAGATGGTCATCAGAGTCAACTTACCTTAGAAAACACAAAATGGCTATTACTGAACTGCGTTTTCAACTGCTGAGCTAAAGTTCGGCGTGTTCGTAGCTGAGAGTCGTTGCCAACATATACTTTGAGCTCTAACTGATTGTTCAAGATCTGACTTGAAAATCCTGACATTTAACTATTGTAGTCAACTGTGTCTGTCTGTTAGCAAAATTTCTCATGAACCACTGGAGGGATTTCAATGAAACTAGCTGAAAATAATCAGTGGTTATGCAACTTATAGTGATTAACTTTTGGGTGGCCAAAAATTCAAGATGACTGCCACAGTTAGTCAACTTTATCCAATGCAAAATGGCTACAAGTTAGTCAGTTTCACAGATATTACACTAAAATTTAGCGTGTTCGTAGCTGACGGTAAATCACATGTATTCCAAGCATGATCGGATCGTGGAAGATAACACATATTGTTCATTTCATCGTTTGACCAGAGTGGCTGCAGCTCTTTGTCTTTAAAGGTAGTGAGCGATATGCATCCATTAAAGGACTGCCTGGCCTTTAATTTGCACAGAGACAAAAATCAATAGAGTTACTACAACCACGTTCGTGTCTCGGCTATCTTAGATCCTTAAAGCCTCCGAACATCGTGTCGAACTAGCACAGAGGTGATGTGCAGACGCTGAGGTGCAATCAGAGCTAAGAGGGAGGCCGGCAAAGACGGGAGTAGCTGAGGCCTCGCTCCAGTTTCTGAAGGAGTGGGGTCTGATTTAACCATTTTTGACCTGAGGTGACATGTTGGGTTGAGGGGGAGAGTGCAGACCCTCCTGGCTGTGCTGGCCGGCTGACAAGGGTGCCCGTTCGGTAGCTACATATAAAGAGTAATGGATGCTGCAAGGATGCTGACGTCCACCATGAAGGGTAGCAGAGCTGCACGACGACAGGGCTGCTGCCGTTTGAACAAACATCCACTGTCGTTGAATCTTTGAAGCTCTCGCCACGCTCCAAAGATAAAGGTGCGCATGGATTTCTTTACCTTTACCTTCTTTGGTCACGAGCTTTGGGTTGTGACCGAAAGAATGAGATCTCGGATACAAGCGGCCGAAATGAGTTTTCTCCGCAGGGTGTCTGGGCTCTCCCTTAGAGACAGGGTGAGAAGCTCGATCATCCGGGAGGGGCTCGGAGTAGAGCCGCTGCTTCTCCACGTCGAGAGGAGCCAGTTGAGGTGGCTTGGGCATCTGTTTAGGATGCCTTCTGGACGCCTCCCTGGTGAGGTGTTCCGGACACGTCCCACTGGGAGGAGGCCCAGAGGAAGACCCAGGACACGCTGGAGGGACTATGTTTCTCGGCTGGCCTGGGAACGCCTCGGGATTCCCCCGGAAGAGCTGGCCCAAGTGGCTGGGGAGAGGGAAGTCTGGGCCTCCCTACTTAGGCTGCTACCCCCGCGACCCGACCCCGGATAAGCGGAAGAAAATGGATGGATGGATTTCTTTACCCTCGTGCAGGATCCTGTTTGTTCCCACCGAGTGGATCCTCGTGCTCTTTCTTAATGACGGTCATGTCTCGCGTTACTCGCAGCTGAGTGTGCTTGCGAACAATTAACTTTATTTTAATTACCACTTGCACACTCGTAAAAAAAAAAAACCACAAGTGTTTTTTTTTTAACGGCTGCCTCGTTATCTCGTCAAACCACCGTCGGTCTCAACCGCGGCTCGTTTCAGAGGCTTTCACTGTCCGCAAACTCCCTTATGGGTCTGTGTGCGTGCGTGTCTTATCTTAGGGACGTCCCTAAACGTCCTAAAAAAAATCTTCACAACTACAACAGGACGAGCGGTTTCTTACTCACGTTTGATTTTGGAGTTTTCAGTGTCTAGTTCTACACCAGTTCTGGAAAAGTTGGTACAGTAGTCCCTCGATTATCGCGGGGGTTATGTTCCAGACATCACCGCGATGGGTTAAAAACCACGAAGTAGGAACGCTATATTTATTTTAGTATATATATTTATATTTTTTTAAGGCTGCATAAACCCTTCCAACACTCTTGCAATGTTCTAAACTCTTAAACCTATGTAATTTTAACAACATGCGTACATGTACTGTACAGTACTGCAAAAATGTATATGGGTACTGACCAGCTCTGCAGACCAGCAGCTCGGCTCCAGTCCGACAGACAAAGCCCACCGCCCCGTCCAGTCCAGGTTGATGTGCACGTGGATAATTGAGCTTCGGGAAGTTTCAGGATTTTTTTTCAACTTTCCTGCCAGTTCTGTGAGCTGCACAGTTGTTACTTTTGACTTTGCATTGTAAAACTTTCTCTCCATTTCAGCAGAAAGCAGCTGCTGGAAGCACTGTTGGCTTCTGGGTACTGTAGTTCTTTTGAATGGCGTTACAGTATAAGCTTATTGAAAGAAAACTACAAAATGGCGGCGCCTGTCTGATGTTTTTTTTTTCATTAACTTTTTATCCTGTATGGTCCCAATCACGTGAGTAATATTAAAGTTGACAATCGTTGAAAAAAAGGCAAAAAAGTGAGTTTACAATAGTTGAACTGTAAAGTAGCAAGGGACTACTGTATGTTTAAAATGAAAAAAAAAAACACATAATGTAATGATTTATAAATCTTACAAATCCATATTGTATTCATGATAGAATTTCACAACATCGAGGAACTGAGGAGACCAGTTTCTGGAGTTTTTGGAGGGAACTCTTGTTCCATTTTTGTTACAATGGAGGATTCTAGCTGTTCAGCAGTCCTGGGTCTTTTTTACATTTTTAACTTTACATTTTATGATGCTCCATATGTTCTCTTATGGTTAAAGATCTGGATTGCAGGCAGGCCAGTTCAGCAGTCTTCTGTTCACTTTCTTGTAACGGGTGCAGTTATGTGGTTGTCTTGCTGAAATATGCAAAGCCTTCCCTGAAGAAGACGTCATCCTGATAGGAGCATATGTTGTTACAGTAGTCCCTCTCTACTTCACGGTCCGTTTATCACGGGCTCGCTCTATCGCGGTTTTTCAAAATAACTGGACACAACTGGATGACCGATGGATGAGCTGCACGATCGGCATAGACTTTTTATTTAAAATAAATTATTTAGCATCTGCAGCACCTTTGTGCAGCCCACACTGCAGGATAAACTTCCTGCTGCAGCTGATCAGCTGTTCTCCGTGCAGAGCAGAGAAGTGGGCGTGGCCAAGAGCACTTGCAGGTGGCAAAGAGCAGAGGAGGCAGGGAGCTGAAACCATGATATTCTGTGCTCTTTTAGAGCGTTTAGAAACACAGTTTAGAATACTGCAAGAGTGTGGGAAGGGTTTAAAACGACTTTATATGTATATATTACTACTTACTACTTGTACTACTATTCCTACTTCGCAGTTTTTCACTTATCGTGAGTCTTCAGGGTACGATCCCCCACGATAAACGAGGGACTACTGTATACTCTTTTGCATTGATTATGCCTTTCTAGATGTGCACGCTGCCCATGTTATAAACATCAATGCACCCCCATAACAGCAGAGAAGCAGGCTTTTTAACTGAGCAATGATAACAGACTGGAAGGTCCCCTTAGAAATAGCATCCATGGTTTCCAAAAGAAATTTCAAATTTTGATTAATCTGATCATAGAACAGTTTTTCATTTTGTTTCAGTTAATTGTAAATGTGCTTTTATTTCATCTAAATGATTCCACCCCTTACTGTTAGTGCCTTTTGTTGCCCCGTCCTAACTTTTGGTGATACGTTGTTGCTATAAACTTCCATGAAATGGCTTGTTAATTCTTTATCATACCTTTTTTTTAATTTACATATTTCTATTTCTGCAGGTTGAAGGAAGCTCAGGAAAATATTAATAAGATTACAGCAGACAAAAGAGTGGAAACCAAGAAGATTAACGCCAACAGCCTGGTAAGAGCTAATCTATACTGTACGTAGCAAAGGAATGGAGTTCCATCAGAGCCACTGAAATCAATGTGTTGATGCCAACAGAAGGAGAGGCTGCGGCAGAAGGAAGCCAGCGTGTCCTCCAGCTGAGTCGAAAGGCGAGTGACGACAGAAGAAGCAGGAGAAGCTCCGTCCATCTTGTTTTCCACCTGATTCATAATAACAGGATCAAACGTCACTGGATGTGTCGGTTCAACCAACAGCCCTCTGCCCCATCATCTACACTCCTTTGCACGTCCATGTTGAGGATTGTTTTGCACAGAATGCACGATGTGAGACCTAAAGGTCAACGGTTGACCTCATTCATTCAGCGTGGCGTGACCTCTAAGTGCAGCTTGGGAAGGTTTTCAGGAGTTCGGTGGGATTCTCTGCAGCGCCAGCTGACACCTATAAGTTCCCTCCTGAATCTTCAGAAGCTGAGGATGTTCACTTTTGTGTCTTTGCTCGTTTGTTTGCTTTTTGTCCGGACGCGCTGTAAATGTTCTGATGTGAACGTTTTTAGCTTTTGGTTCTGTTTTGGGAACATGTATTGCTTCCTGTGGGTGTCTACTGAGAGGAAAATCCCTGTTGACAAAACAGATCTTTTCTCTCGGAGCTCCCAGCATCCTTTGCAGCGGCGGATAACTCACATTCACCACAGCTCATTAAAAACTCGCAAAGACGTCGAGTTGCCTTATTGGCAGGAACCGTGTGGCTTCTGAGCAATACCATGAGCAAGCTCAGCGCTGCGTTGAAGACTTGTTGAGTTGTGTGCGAGTATGTGGAAGTTCTGGCGTTGTCGGGTGCACCGCAGCAGACTAATCTATCCTGGGCGACGGCCAGAGAGGAGCAGCAGCTTGGTCCAAAGCCTCGGCCTCCTCACACACACAAGCTTAAAAAAAACACACCAAAAGAACGCAGCATCTTGTAGCCGTGCACCCACTCACCTGTGTTAAAAACAAAGTTGTACTTTGTGTTAAATTGAGTCCAGCACGGTTCTAAGCACCTTCCTGCTTGCAGCAGCTGTATAATGTAGCACGCTGTAAGCTCTCTAATGCTAACATGCTTTTATTTCAGCTGTTTTTGCACCTTTTTTTGTTTTGTTTGTTTTCTATGCAAAAAACATTATTTGCTTTATGGCGTAAAAGTAAAAACTCAAGAAGTAAAATGACGTCCTCTTAGATTTGTTTTATTTTTATGGCAGTGTATGAAACTGGTGCATTCTGGACAAACGTGCATCTGGAGAAAGAAAAAAAAAAAAGTCTATTTATGTAACAAGCGGATCGTTTTCTGCAGAAAACCAGATTTTTTTTTTAAGGATTCTTATTTGATTTAATTTAATGAGAAGCTGCTTAATAGTTTATTCTGAAAAACATATATTTTCACAAAGATGTTACTTGTTGAGAATGAGAATTGCCTTTTCTGCCTAGTTTTGTAGACGTGAGGGTTGTGTTTTGGGAAATGAAAAGATTTAAGCGTGCTGTCTGAAGCTATGTGAGCTGGAATACCTCAGATCCATCAGATTTATACATAAAACTGCACTTTGACCTCATTTTTTAACCCTCCGTGAACTTCACAGGTGCCCTTTATTGATTTTTTATTTTTTTTAATTCGGACTTCTAAGGAAAAGAAATGTAAAAATAATCTGACACTGAACAATCAGGTGTCATGTCTGCGATTTTATGGAATTGTTTTAAATTTCAAGGATAAACTGAAAGCCAAGGAAGCTGTTCAGATGGAGACTTGCACTTTTAAAAAGATGTATTCAACCTCCTCCGGTCAGTTGTTTTGCTGTGTACTAGGCCTGGAACCTGCAAAAATCATATTTATTTCAAAACGTTGAGTCACCAGAAGAGTTTAATCATTCATAAAGCTGCTGGGCGGTTAAAGAAATTGTCAGTTGGAATAAAGTTTGACAGTAGATTTTAGTTTTATGACATTTAAACTTGTTTCTGGAAATATAAAATAAATAATTTGATTTTAATTTGAGGAGTGTGTGCCTTTTATGTACAGGTTCTATAAGAGAAATGTTGATCAAACTTATTTTACAAACATATAATGACCTGATATTGATATTTGGGAGAACATATTTCTTAATATTGGTTTAAATTTAAGCATAGTATATCAAAAAGGACACAATTGACAGATTTGTGTCTTATAAACAGTCATTTCTATAATCTGTTGGAGTGAATTACCCAATTTAAAGATGTAATTTTTACTTAAAAGGGTTATGTCTTCATAGAAAGCATATTTTAATATGTTGAACACCATAAGAAATGTGTACATATCACATCAGTTTGTTGAGTTTTCATGGATAATTTAAACAAAAATAATAAACTGATTAAATCAAATATTGGCTTTACATTTAAAACTATTTCATTTTGATACTTAAACACTGTACATTGTGAACGGGATTTCTTTTCTCTAAAGGCTACAGAATAGATTCCAACTTATATAAAAAAAATTATAATAAAACAAAAAAAAATGTATACCAATAGATATCGAAATTCACAGAAATCAATTAGGTTGAAAGATTCAATCACATTTTCATTCACAAATATCCATTCGTCACAAATTCCACACAGTGGAAACCTCCAGTTCTACAGAAACGCATGCGTAAAATGCGGGATTGGATGGAAATGAGCGTGTTTGGAGACGTGAGTCCTTAAATAAAGCCGAGCCTTTTTGCAGTCCTGTTTCTCTTCCTGCTTCTGTTACTGAGGTGGGGAAACCGTGCGTAAAACGTGCCCGTTTTTAAAATTCGGACTTTCCGAGCAGTGCGATTTTTAAATGTATGATGTCAGTTTTTGTTCACACAGTGTGCAAGAGGAGAGATTTAGCACATCTCCAGATGGAGACGCTTCTCTGCTAACAAACCATCCCGTCCTGGAAGAAGAGTTTGTCAGTGCGTGTTCAGTCCAGGTCTATGGAAATGCAGCGGCACTGTTTGACGCGCTGGATGCGCTTCTTCTTGGTGGGGGGCTGCTGGTCCGGACAGTTCAAGGTAAAAGTCATGGTGGTGAAGCGTTTGGGCTTGCAGAAGGAGCAAGACTGGAAGGCGCCCTCCTCCCTGCGGATGTGCCTGGGGATGTAGAAGGAGTTGCACTGTCCGTAGCAGAAGCGGTTGATGACGGTGCGGCTGACGCAGCCCTCCTCGTGGATCGTCTGTTTGAGGGGCTGCGTTTTGCACCAGTCCCGTTTCAAATACTGCCGCTCCGTCACATGCAGGGCTTCCTGGCTGGACTCCAGCACCTCGTCGGCCGGTGAGGACGAGCCGGGCCTCTGTCGGGACCCCGAACCAGCCCGCGGAGGCTGTGGTTGCTGCTCCGATTCGTTTGGGTTGTTTTTGTCAGGATGAGGAATGGCCCCTTGTGAGGCTCGGTTTCTTTTTGAGGCCGCGGGAGAGGACAGCAGCCCAATGATGAAAACCATACCACAGAAAATACGCCTCGAGATAGCCATCCTTGGGGGTGGAAAAAAGAGAAAGAGAGATGACTAAAATAATTAATCATCCGCACCTTCCAACCAGTTACGCACAGATGGCAGAGCTTTTACGCAGCGTAAAAACGCACGGATGGAACACTTGTTTTTTTTTTCCAGTTGTTTGAAACTTAATGAAAATGTGACTTTTCTTTTGATTGCTTGCATAAATGATGAAAGCATATGGTTAATCTGAAAGCATAAAGTGAGATGTATTAGGATGTCCACACGTGGCACACAATGTTCAAGTGCGAGAGGAGTACAATACCTGCGCGTGTCTCGGATGCTCCAAGAGGGATGATGAGATCCTGTCAGTCCTTCCTACAGCAGCAGACTCTCTGGTGAGACTGTGGATGGGTGGGAGACGAGGCGCTCCATAAGCAGGGGCCAAGGGAGGGGGTTAATACAAATTGCTCCAGCGCCGGACTGTCTCCCTTTTAAATGTCTGCCAGCTGAGATGTGCACAGCAGTTATTGGCTGAGCGCGATGTGGAGAAAATCAAGACAATCCGCCCCCTCAACACTTCCCTGAACCCGCTGCAAGAAAGCAGACAAGCGACGATCAGGGGGGAGGAGGAAGAAGAGGGGAGAAGACGGGTCGCAGGTTTATTAGAGGAAAAAGTGAAAGTTATTTTTTATGAGCAAAAGAAAACAAGTATTTTACACAAAAAGGGGGTGCGTGTCTAAAGAGCATCAAGTTCATCATAAGAGTCAATCTAATCCAAACTTTAGATTTATAGAAATCTCAAAATCCATCAGTCGCCCGCCCCCCCTCCACGAGATCGGAAGAGCCAACAGTCCCAT